ATTTAGCAGTAGTCCAGCCGATGGTGTGGTTGCGTGTCTTTGTGTCTCCCTGTGTCCTCTCCTCCCTGAGCCCCTCACTGAGCCCCTCTCCTTATTCCCTCCAGAGTTGCCCATGTCGTTCAGGGACAAGGAGAAGGTGGCGGTTTCCCCTGGATCAAAAATTTACGAGCAATTAAAAGTGGGACGACGCCCAGCATTCATCAGCCCCACGTGCTTCTGGCAGCCCGGGTGAGGGGGACTCGCAGTAAACCACAGCCTATATACTTTTATATCTGTTTTCCCTCCAAAGAGGGAAGGTTATGACAAAATTATGTTTTACTGTTCCTGCTATCTAGAGCGATGTAGACATCTTTCACGGAACAGCCCTGTTGGAGGTCAGAGCCCCTGTGGAAGAGAGGCACGGGTGGAGAAATGTGTGTGTGAGAGCCCTGTGTTTTAAACCATAGACAGAAGCCTTTAACACAGTGGGACTAACATAGTATCTGTTCCTCTGGTCAATCAGTTACTGAGGGAAAATGACCTAATTACTCTGTTGTTTATTACTGCACAGCTCTGATTTATTTCCCCACGCTGATGTAATTTCAGCACTGCAACACCCGGTCTATCTCTTCAATAACAGCAGTGTGACACATTTTTGTCGGATTCCAACACACACTAAATACTCGCGCACGGTATCGCGGCGGGACACACACCTCAAACGCACAAAAAACCCACACAAACGCTCATACATCAACAAAGTCACTCTTTTACTTCTCTGGCTTCCTCGCGACAGGCTCGTGCCTCATTTGCATTCTTAATTGTGTTGTAATGTACTTTTAATTTGAAAATGGAGGCAATTAATTATTTTGATATGGAACAAAATGCTGCAAATGTAAACATTCTAATAGTTCTCTGTGAAAGGAGGATCATTTTTCAAAAGAGGGATTGAATCTTATCTCATTTTTTAATGCCACTACCAGTTTTTTTCTGGGTGCTCATACATTCTCCTTGATATGCACTTTGTCTTTGCAGCGAGGGAAGTGTTTCTTTGATCTATCCCTGCGCTGTTATTTTCCATCTCAATCTCCCACAGGATGATCACTGTAGCTTCACCTATGCTATCAGAAGAGATTAAATGAAATTAAGCCTGTTTGGACATTCTGCTGCTGCTGCTTCTACTCCTGCTCCGTCTGCCATTCCTCCAGTGCAAATCCGCTCACACTACACTCTGTACTTTCTATTTCTGGGTCAGAGAGGCTTGGAGTAGAGATGTGAATCTCAGATTAATTTTTTTTCCCTCTTTCTGTCGACCATTTGATCAATAGGTGTCAGTGTTCAAAGGATGCTGCGGGATAAAGAAGAGGAGAGGAAGGAAGACGAGAGAGGAGGCGAGGAGAGGGAGATCCATTTGTACAGGCTCATGAAAAAAGTGACACTTTCTCTCACTCATCCTGATGAACTCATCACACCGAGGAGTACGATGGGGGGCACGGTCTTCCCCTCTCTCTTTTTGCCCATCTTCACTTAGTTTTTTCGCCTTTTCTCTCACTCGCTCACTCTTTCTCTATCAGAGACATATATTTTGCCCTCATATCTTTCTCCCCCAGCACACAACCCCACTCCTCACCCATATCGATTTCACTCTCTCCCCTTCTGATTCCCTGAGGGTGCTGCAAGCTGGCTGACATCACAGCCTGCACTGGCAGCGGCCTATAAATTATGACTGACAAGTCTTTGCGCCAATAAAAGCAGCACAATATTTCATGCACAGTAAATCTGATTGCAGATTGCTCCGGCGTGTGGTGGCTGACATGTTTATTGTTGTCATGGTGCTGGGAGCTGTGAGGTGGAGGGGTGGAGGTGGGGTCCCATACTGACATCAGAGTTTTCCAGAGCTGCCAGTCTATATGGAGGGGTCAAACAGATGGGAACCCTGGGTTGCAGACGACCCTTCTCCACCCACCCAGCTTGCCCTTAAATCTCCAAAGACAGACTCCCACACAAACACAAACACACACATACACACGCCAATATATACACATATTATGCTGTATCGATGCACTAGTGAACAACAACCTAAATGTAAATTAAGATTATCTGGAATTATTGACAATAATACTAATTAATTAGGTATACTGGTAGTAGGTCACCTTATTCAAGATGAGGATAAGAGGAGCATCCATCAGAGAGTTTGGTCAGTTTAGTGTTGTACACATATATTTGTTGAACCAAGTAAACTTAGACTACCCAGTGTAGGTGTTACACTAAATGCCCAAACGTTAACCAAACTGAACTACATTTTAACAAAGAATGACTAAAAGTTTGTTCAATCTCAGGTAGACTCACTGACAAGAAACAAACCCTGCTTGGTTTTAATGCCTAAAAGACCTTTGACCTTTCCTTTTTTCCAGCCCAACATTTCAGGAACAAAGACCTGCAATCGAGATACTTTAAGCCTTATTAAGTTATAAGTTTTACAGCTGTTTTGTTTATGACTTTGCATGGATTTGAATTCAATTAGCCAGCCTGACTAAAACCTATCCCGTCTGATAACCTAGCGGCTAATGCCTAACCTTAGCCATCTCAGCCCTGACCTTAAAGAGTGGCTCAGAAATCTGCCTCATTAAAACTAGGATTTGTTTCCTGATGTCAATGTTAAACACAAGGTCAACTATTTTTAACCAGAATATTTTACTGAAGAAGAAACACACACACAACGCACTGTTCCACTAAGCATTAAACATCACCTTCAATTTGCTCGGACATGGATCCCACCCTTACAGATATCATATCTTTAATGCTTTTAATGTATCGTAACAACCTCATTGATATTAAATGACCCTGCGCTCATTGCTGTGCCTGGCTCCATCCATCCCGGTCCATGCCATAAACCATTCTTCATAATTAGCCTGGCTGCAGCAGTATGATCAGGACATTACAAGTCCTCTGCCACAGCCCCTAAATGGACAGATTTCAGCAGACACCCACTGGTGTGATCGGCATCATTATATTTTAATTAATCCATTCTTCTCACAGCAACACAGTAATTACAATCTATTTTATGACACGGCATGCTGCGAAAGAGGAGGGATAGAAGAAAAGAAATAGGAAGGCAGTGAAAGGGAAATAATAGAGAGAATAAGGCGGGGGGTGTCGGAGGAAGGGGAGAGGAAGAACAGGAGGTGAAACTACAAAGAGAGGAGCGAGGACGGAGAGGAGACAGAGATAGGATGAATGACGGAAATTTTTAAGGTGAGTGAGACAGAAAGCAGAGGTAAAGCATCACAAACGATATGAGTGATAACCAATATGTCATTGCTGGGCTGACATTGTAAAAGCACTGTAAAAGTGTTTATACGATGTCTGGAGGAGTGCATCTCTCTCTCTCTCTCTCACTCAGAATTATACAATCATACAATGAGTGAGCGAGGAGCTCCATTTCTTTCAGCCTGAGTGTGTATAAATCAGAGCAGGTACAGACACTCAGACACGCTGTGGGTGTGATAATAACATTAGAGGATTACAATGACACTCCTCCCTGGACAAGATCACCTGTCTCAACTGTCATAAAACAGACTGCTGCTTTTTGTTGTTAAAGCACTTTATAGGAGGAGAGTGTGAAGGTGTGTCGATGTGGAGGCATTCGGCAGAACTCAGAGTGTGTGTGTGTGTGTGTGTGTGTGTGAATTGTTGACCATCATCACACATTCATTTACCTGCGTAAATGTCATGCACATTTACATACGGTTTCCACCCATTACTCTCACTTAATTTGAGTTTTGTTTTCCTGTTAAAACATTTATGAAGTGAAGCTAACAGTCGTGCTAAAAGTTGCGTTTTATAAAGCTAAAGGCTGGCCATTTAATTCACCTGAAATTATCCCAGTCAGATATCCTGTAGGGATAATTACTGTAATCAAAACCACAACCACTGTGTCACTGTGTGTCTGTGTAGGATGGTATGGAACGTTATCATCAACATTTTCTAATGGGAAAACATATGTACACACACTGGAACATTAATCATTATTTATATAGTTGCCCAGGATTATACTGTATATGCAGTAATGAGAAAGTTTGAAATGGTATTAACGTCACATTTTCATTTGGCTCCAGCATCATTTTAGCTTAAAGTTTACCCTGAATTTTAAAACAGTTTACCAAAGTTAACAAACCTTGCTTTTCTGCTGTTGGAAGGTATTTTGTTTACTTTTATTCTTAGTTTTATACACTCTGCCATTTAGCTAATTATGCTAATGCTACTTTGTTTTACCTTTTGGCTATTTTTGCTCATTTGAGGCTATTATGGGTCGCCTCAATCTAATTCAGGCCTACATGAGTTCTCTTGTTTTTTTGTTTAACATGGGCTACAATTGCATAATATATATATATACTGTACTTTAAATCTATTTAAAAATACCTTTTTGTTATTTTATTCTTTTCTGTGCTTTGTGACTTCCTAATTTTTAACTATTATTTATTTAATTCCATCTTTATATATTTGCTACCGTTTAGCTACGTTTGGCTGTACCCTATCATATTTTAGTTATTCTTAAGTCTGACTAAAAACTAATACATGTCTGCTATATTAATGGAAATCTCTCTTTAAATTCAGGGCCTTACAGGAAGTGCTCTAAGCACAGCAGAAAATTTGAAAATGTTTCAAAATGGCTTGACCAGAATAAACAAGTTAAGAATCACCCAGAGGTATTTACTATGAACTAAACCAGTGTATTTTTGATGCATCTAAAGTTTGTAAGGGGAATCAACTGGCCCACAGATATTTTTAATATGATGAAATCTGTGCCTTTTGCTTAAATTTAGACACTCTTGGCGTTCAGCAGAGAGAGTTTGTTCATAACTTTAAGGTGGGCTGACACTGTGTCTTATGGCTGTTAGTCACGGCCGGACTTGACGCACAGAGAAAGAGTAAAAGTATTTAAAATATTCAGTCAAGTGATGAAGAACACTCTCATTGTAATTAATGTTAGTAATAGAAAAAACACGTGACTCTGACAGCACCTGTGATGGACGTGGTATCCTGCTGCGTTTATGTTCCATCCTGGTTCTTTGGGGTCGGGAATCTTTGCTGTCTTGGCGATCAGATGCTGAACATCCCTCCACGTCAGCTCTGGACTAGAGCAAAGACACATAAAAGGGAATATCATCAAACACATCCTTCCTTTGCCTCCCTGTTCTACACCAAATCAAACCACAGTGGAAATGCTCTAACTCTGTGTAGAGCTGTGAAGGAAACCTGAGGGGATCTCAACACAACTTTCTTCAGTGTGAGGAGAAATAGGCCAGAACACAGTTCTACGTGGTTTACAACGCATTCCATTAGCCATGCCTGTAACGATATAATAACAAGACTTGACTGATACACAAACTGTCTTGTACAGAAGGCCCTTTAAACATTAAAGCACCTGTTTAAGTCAAGCTTAAGGGTTTAATAATTGCATCACTAAAAATCTGTGAATCGAACAAAGAATATTTGAGACTTTAACAAAAGAGCCCAGAGAGTATAATGTAGAAATAGTCTTCTTTTTAATCCCAGGCAGGGGAATTCTAATAGAGCAGACTCAAGTGTCATGTCAAGCAATATACTAATGGAATCCAATTAAGACCTTTAAACGGCGCAGAGAGCTGGAGGATATTAGCTCAGTTTTCTGTAACAAAAGACCAAAGGGTCGTCAACGAGGGTTTTTACTGGATATAAAAAGCATAAAGGAAATTGGGTTTTTCTGCTTTATCCACTCATTATTGTTCCCAAAGAAAATGACTTGAATAGAGTCTAAGAAAATTGCTCTGCCACCCATTCTGGGCTGCTTTTTTCTGTCAGTGAAAAACTGTCTCCACTGTGTGCCTTAACATCTGTACATGGACCCATCATTTCTGCAACGCAAAGAAAACAAAGGTAGTTAAAGGTGGACTACGCCGTTAAATCCCTGTGACTAAAGACATTACTGTCACTCATCCTGCATGTCTGATCAACCTGGTATCACTGATTGTTTCACTGGCAAATATCTGCTGGGAAATGTGGAACAAAGAGGGAACTGCACACGGCCTCCTCATTAGCATGCTGCTAGCTGTTTTATTTTAGGAAAATACAGGAACAATATAAACAAATTTATAAAAATTTTTAGATTTATGATTTCATGGTGATTCTACATCTCTCATTCAGTTCTTAGCTAACTTTGTATCTAATACGGATATTTCTGGTCTATGTTTCAGGTAACCTTTTGGACTTTTCACTTAAATCTCTTACAATAGCATTCTAAAATCCAAATATTTTTGAACACCCAGCTATTCTTAGACATTTTTTTACCCATTTCTTTCCCACCTTTGGTAAACTTTTGCTAATTTTTCTGCTGAAGTGTTATTTATTGTCGTTTGTTAAACTGCAAATATCCACAGGAAGATGTGCAACAAAGAGAGAATCATAAGTGGCCTCTTCATTACTGAGCTGTGGGGTGTTGGACATCTCAGGAAAATATCAGGCGCAGATATAAACAGATGTATTCCCTTCACGGGTTGGACAAAAACACAAAGCAGAACAAAAAAGTAAGGAGAGATGCTTTCATTAGCAGCTTAAAACAAAACCTTGGCAAGCAGTGAGGGCAGGCCGCTGTAACAACATGATAGGAACAAAACCAGTAACACTAATAATAGGCAGAAAGAATGAAGCAACACAAACAACACAAACACAATTATTTTAAGCTTTGATTTCAAAGCAACTCGGAGTGTGTGTGTGTGTGTGTGTGTGTGTGTGTGTGTGTGTAGAAGGAACAAGCTTTGTACTTTTGAACTGTTGCTGCTCACTGCTTGTATGTGTGTGTGTGCGTTCTCAGCATCAGGAACAGCAACAGCAGCAGCAGCAGCAGCAGCAGCAGCAGCAGCAGCAGGATTCTGCTGTGTGTGCTCCCCCACCTCCATCAACCCCTCTGGTGGAATCAGCGAAAGCCCCGCGGCCCCGAATGGTTTGCATAAAGCAAACAAAATTAGATTTGCTTTGCTAAATCAAAGCATGTACCGTATTCCAAGCCGATCTCTGAGGGACAAATTACTTCAAACGGCCTTCTTTGTATCATAACAGAATAAAAAATAAAAAATGTGCCCAATCAGCGGCTCTCCAAAACCCTCAACTCGGGAATTAATTATTGAACTGTGGGCTTTTCTCTCCCCTCGTCGTCTGTGACACAGATCTACTGTATATAGTTTGGAGAAGTCATTTTGCTCTTTTGAAACACTGATGGCTGAGACCCAGTTTACAGTTCACTGCCATCCTTCTCTCTCCCTACAAGAATCTACACTCTCTTCTACAACAGCAATGTATTCACTAATTTAGATCGCAATCCATTATTATGTAAGAAATAAAAACATCCAAGCCACATAAAAAATATAACTTGTCCTTGTCTCATGGCACAAGTGAGTGATTTTAGTAATATTTGCCTTAATTTCACAGCCTATGTCTTTGGAGGCTTTTCAGTTCAATTGAGATATTATGTGTTTTTTTTATAGAAATGGGAAGAAAATAATAATAATAATAAGCAGACTATTATTTTAGAATATGAAAGAAATGAAACACTTCCAAATGTTGAAATAAGGGTCAAACAAATGGGTTCTTTGGTGGCGGCAGGTATTGCAAATGAATTGTTAAAATACAGATAAAAAAAAGCAACCATCTTCTGTTATTTTACAGTAACATAAACATTATAATAATAAAAATATAATTTGTATATATAATCTATGTTTCTTGCGACGTAACGAAGACATGAAAACATTTTCACATGTACATATTAAAAGCCTATTTGCCCCACACAACCCCATGTGTGCTGCAGGGGCGAGACTGCATCAACATATGAGGCTCCTCCGGACCCTCAGAGCCTTCATCCTCTATTCCAAGGTCCACAAAGCTGCACAGCAGCCTTCACAGTGAGCACACAACTGTTTACAAATCCCCAGTTAATAGGATTTGGCCTCATTGACGGTGCCGCTGCGATGTGCCTGATGTTATCTATTAGCTGTATGATAGTCAGTGTCTCAGTCCAATCGATTACCCTGGACCTTCATATTGCTCCACTGTGAACTGTTACTCCTCTTTAGCGCTGCTCTAAATGCAAGCATAGTGACTATAAAGTGTGTGAGTGTGTGTGTGTGTGTTTGTTTGTAGCAGACACATTTTCAGAGTTTGAATGTCAGAGGCCATTTTTTGTGTATGAAGCCAATGTGGAAGATGAGTGTAAACATTTCAGTGTTTGGACTGTTAAATCATAAAACAAACATCAGCTGATATTAAGGCAGAAGTTAATTCATTAGCACTTTAATGCATGAATAATTACAGAGAGTGCACGGCAGCTTTCTGTCTGTGTTTGTGTAATTACGCTGGTGTTTGTATTAGGCACCTATACATGCATGGATTTCATGTTTGAATGTGAATGCTTGCATGTGTGTGTGTGTGTGTGTAGAGGCACTCCATGTATGTATGTGTGAGTGGATGTCGGCAGCCGCTGTAACTGGGTTTCCAATTAAGTTGAACCACAGGCCGGATCAATGCTAGTCCTCTGTGTGCAGGAATAAGCAGCCCTGGGCCCTCAGAGCATGGCCCACGAATAATTCATCATTCACACTTGGTCCAGGCAGAGAAGGAGGTAGAGGAGGAGGAGGAGGAGTCAGAGAGTGCAAGGACAAAGTGTCCAGCCCAGGGGAGTGAGTCTGAGAGATGGGCAATATAGGGGACAGAAAGATGGAAGGGTTACAAGAAGAAGAAGAATCAGGGCCCAGAGGAGATCACTGTCTGTTAGCAGTTGTTAAAAGGCATCAAAGTCCAGTCTCTTCTGTAAACAACCATTAAAACTTGGTTGCAAAACATATTGACATGTTTTTTAATCATACTTTATATATACAGTATAACACAGTTTATATATATAGAGAGAGAATATATACATATATCACTGTACAGCGATCAGTCCATTAAAATTGTTAATCATATTAGTCCCAGAGTGGCTGTGGATTAATCATGACTAACCATGATCGATGATGATGTTAATTTATCATGATTAATCACGATTAATCATGATAAATCAACATTCCTAAATATGGCAAAACATTTTATTTCTGGGACAGAAAGAGAAATTGTGGCAGGTAGATATATGTGTTTTGAAATGGAAAAACACTGTGCAGCATAAACAACTTTCAAGTAACACTGTCCACAGTGAGGTGTGATCAAGTGTAGCGCAAAAAATGGGAAAAAGTAATTGCACTTGCTGGAGATTTGAAATCAATGTTGCAGTTTTTTTTAAAGAACAATTCATGCTGTTTTACAAACCTCTACCTTTACCTTTTACTGTCTAACTAATTCCATCTCAGTCGAATCAATTTTAAAGGTTCCAAATTTAACATGAACTATGATACAGTTTATCTTAGAAACAGTTAAGAGGTGATTTATGATAATGATGTTTCCTGTCTGTAACAATTTTATTGTTTTAGATTCTCTTCAGTGAAGCTCAGCAGGTTTCATGTACCTTATTGTTACTTTGTCTTTTTCTTTTAACAATTACTATGGCATCAACAAGAGTGGAGCTTGTTAGTCAGCAGGGTTTAATGTGCTATAGAACAGAACAAGTAGCAGGCAGCACATCTTCTGCTTGGACACTTCCTATTACGATCTTCTTCCAAACAACAGTGCAGCCTTGGAGGACAGGTAGTGAAACTACCACACATGGTTGTAATAAGGAGCAGCTTGAATGTACTAACACACAGGCACCCACATCACACACTGCTGTACAATTACACACACATTCAGCGTTCCCGGGCCCGTTCAGCCTCAGCATCCAATGCTGCTGTCATCTCCGTCCCTACTTTGTCTCTATTAATCTCACAGTAGCGAGGCATGGACTGCTTAGACGCCGCACATCCCTCTGTAATCTTCTCTTAATGTGCTGCACTCTAAGTCTAAGTGAACCCATTTGGAGCCACTGTGAGCAGACTGCGATTGCTTCCATGTTATCTGAACAAGTGTAACTAATGGGTTTATCAATTAGGCCAAGTCCTATAACTGCATGCCTGCAATTGCCTTTAAATACACTCGGCCAGCATAGGCCTGATATTTGCCCCTAATGAGTAAACCCACACTA